CGTATAAAAAGTAAATATTTCAAGATTTTTGTCTAATATATTCAAACAATTGTCAACAAATTATTTGTGACTTTTTGTCCTATCAAATTTGTGACTTTAATTAACCCAATACACATTCAACTTTTATCAAAGATTTTATTAAAGATTTGACACAAAGCAATTCTTACATGTATTGCATAGTTTGATTTAAAATGTTATTCACTGTGAAGGAGCATGGACATTATAATAATAATATTATTATTTCTTTTTATAAAATTGATTTATCCACATAATTGTTTTTCATTTCAGTTAGATCATATAGACTATATTAGGTTACCCCTCCTCCCCTTTTAACTCTGCTTTTCCACGAAAAAAAACCATAAAATAATACTACTGAAATGATGTCATGCCTTCATACAATAACTGATTTAGATTGATTACTTATAATATGTAATCAAAAAGATCATTTGATAGAAAAAAACAAAAAAGTAGACCATTTATTACAAAAATGCCAACTCCCAAAAAGAAACTGTAAAATGCATGGTAATTATATAAATATGACATTTGTCGAAATTAGTTACTTTTAGATACTATGATGTAAAAAAAAAGATAAAGATACAAGTTCGGAGTATATAGTATTTTTATTTTTTTTTTTTTTTGGTAAATTAATATAACTAGTACATTTGGGTTCATGAGTTTTGTCTGTGATAAAATCTAATAAACTACAATGTTTAAATTCACAGCACCTTTCTAATGATGTTTATTAAACTGACAGAATTTACAAATGTATTTAACAACATGTGGTATAGGCATGGACCAGTTGTTAATTACCTGATTGGAGGGATTGCAACTACTGATTACTCAACTGTTTGATCTTTATGACTTTACAGTAAAACAGGATGTTACTTAATACTATATAAAGGTGTTAAAATCTAACTGTTTTAATTACCATGATCAAAAGGTGATACAGATTAATAGTCTTAATCAAAATTTAATTGTTTGAAAAGACAAAATGGCAACTAGATATTATTAACTTTCCCTAAACATTTCCCCCTTTATATTTCTTTTTTTTTCTTTTTTATCTCAATTTTCTGAAATACCAAATAAATAATGTTTCAATTTTACCTGGGACCAACAAATTTTACTGATTTCTATTGGATTGAGTAATTTTATTATTATTTAATTAATGGCTGCTGACAAGCATCTTTACTAATAAATATGAGTGGTAAACAGACAGAAAGTCATAGGACAAAAAGTCACAATTTTGATAGGACAAAAAGTCACAGGACAAAAAGTCACAAATACTTTGTTTATAATTGTTTAGATATATAAGAGAAGTTTTTGAAATAATTTCTTTTTATACCATATATTTATTTTACAGTTAAGAAAATTGTTTATAAAACTTGATAAATGAAGATTTACAAAATTTTACTTATGCAAAGGATATATATCTTGGCACCATGAGGCCATTTAAGTACATAGCCACTTTGACACATTGTTTTTTTTTACAATTATTAGATTATAATGGATTTTTTTAAATACATTTTGTTTACAAAGTTGCTTTATATAGAATAGTTCAAGAAAAATACAAAAATATTTTTAAAAGATATGTGTTTTCTTATTCAAAGAAAAATGATATCAAAAGTGAATTGTGACTTTTTGTCCGTGACTTTTTGTCTGTGACTTTTTGTCCTGTGACTTTCTGTCCTACATTCATATGAGTTACCCTCTTTATAATTGTATTAATTATGCGTGTCGAAGGTTTTGATTACGAATTAAAGTAATGCAAAATTGTGGATTATGTAGCCCCTTTTTTTCTCATGAAATCTTGGATTCACACCAGAGGCTGAAAATAAGCTTGGTCAATTCAGGCTGTTACACACACATATATATATATATATATATATATATATATATATATATATATATCAGTAGCAGGAGTTCGAATCCTGGCTAGGGAAGAATAAAAAATTTGTAAAAGCAAATTTACAGATCTAACATTGTTGGGCTGATGTTTAGACGAATTATATTTATCCAACGCAATCATAGGTTTGAACGTTGTTTGCAATTTAGACTTGTTTATATTTTTTCGTTTGGGCTTGTATTATATTTGCCTTCGGGTTTATATGATCCGTTCATCCTGTTTCGACTCTTTTAAAATTCAAGAGTCTATCTTAAATTGAGGTAAATTATATGGCCTTCCAAATACCGTTTCGATTCCAAACATCACTGAAGAGACATTAATTGTCGAAATCCGGATATGGTGTACAAATTTTTGCACCTCATGTTTGCGGTATACCATCTTTTCCGCAAGTTTATTGTTTTCTGTTTGGTAATAAATTATTATAAGATCAATTTTGTTACATCTGGTGATCCGTTTATTTGGCAATCGCCAATGGCAGTCAGCAGAGTTTAAGAACATCAATTGTTCGACCTGCTAGTCAAATGGGTTTTGGTAAAATATACTTTTTCACTTTTTTGGTCTTTTGGAAAATGTTGTTTCTAGACCCCTCTACACAGGCAATTTTTTCCAACGTGTGTTTAACGTTTGTGCTCATTACGTGAAAACTACGTTATTTCCACGTGTGTATCACACCGTTTAAACGTTTATATCACATGTATTTGACACACACAAGATTCTCACGTGATAATCACGTTTTAATCTGCTCACGTGATATTCACGTTTAAACGTAACGTTATTTTCACATGTAAATTTTTTAACGTGATATTAACGTGTAAATATTGTGTTAATTTCACACGTAAATTTTTAAACGTGATTTTAACGTGTAAATATTGTGTTAATTTCACATTTAGATTTTTTCACATTATTTTAACGTCTATATTTTCACATGATTGTGATGTGAATTTCATATTAATATCACATGAATAACATATGTACATGTAAGTGCAAGTTATTTTTGCAATGGCTAATTAGAAATATACATTGTGCTTTGTTATGCTCTAAATGAGTCTTCTTTTATTTCCTGTTCTATTAAATTATAAAATCTTTCTTTACTTCAAGTTGACAATGGTTTTCTTTAGAATCACAAGAGGTATATTCCGTAACAATTCTTTTTAAAAGAAATAAAACTCATTTCATGTTCTGATATCTTCTTCTCACAGTCTTGTTGTTATAATGATTTACTGCTGCAGACACTTATTTCCTCTTTTTATTCATAGAAGATGTATCACTCTGTCAATTTTCCCGGCAAACACAAGAAAAGTAGTAAGAACAAAGAAATTATAATAATAGCTTATTAATTTTGTAGTTGAATTCTACTGGTACTGAACATGCTCTAAATAGAAGATGCAAAACTACATCATATGAATGTTTTAGTTTATGATTATTTTATTCGAACAATTGACTTAAATAGGATCAGACACAAGTTTTACATCTGTATACAATAGGATAATAATATTATATTAAATTGAGTATGCATAAATTTTGCGCCTGTCCCAAGTGACTGACAGTGACCTATAGTTGTTAATGTCTGTATCATTTGGTCTCTTGGAGAGAGTGTCTCATTGGCAATCTTACCACATCCTATTTATTTTACATTTGTATTGACACTTACAATGTATATTGAAGTCTTTTGTTTTAACCAAAAGATGCCTCTACTGGTTTTGTTGTTTGTTCGGGTGCTGATTCATTGAAATATAGACGCCATTTCTTTTCATTTATTTATCTCAATCGTTTGACCGTTACAGCCAAGTTAATCAAGTATAAAATAAGTATATAATACCTGCTGCTTTTACTTCTTCTCCTTATTGAAAAAGTACATTTCCTTTGTTAATTTCTTTTTTTCCCAATGAGCTCCTCAACAATTTTCTCTGTTCATTAACTAAGAACTTGGGAACTTGCTGTATCCCTAAAAACATATCAAATTATTCAATTGATGGAAAAAAATCTTTCATTTTTATAATGGTATTATTTATTACACAATAGAAATATTACTCTTAAATATTTGTTTACATGTAGCTTATAATTAAGTTTGTAGTAATGTCATAAATGTGTAAGCTAAACATAAAATAAAAGATAGCTGTTCAAAGCTGACTGACATGATATCATCAATTAGATTTAACCCCCTGAAGTACAAATTTAGGAGAAATTACAACTGAAAATATCGTTTAACAAGAGAAGAGAATTATCCTGTCATCAAGACAAAGATTGAAGAATCCAACTAAATCCCACATCCCCACTTTTTCACCCCAATATGAAAAATCCCCCTTTTTTTTAACCTCGATATCCCACAACCCAAAAGGTGTCATTCCCCTAATGTTCACCTGTACTAATATCAGAGACAGATTTAATGCGCAGCCCCCCCCTTTTGTGGGCTTAACCTTAGGCAGTCAATGCCCCATTTTGTTGGCTTAACCTTAGGCAGTCAATGCCCCCCTTTTGTGGGATTCACCTTAGACAATCAATGCCATCCCCCACCTCCTTTTATTAAAATTTATGTCATTTATGGATCCACCACTGAATATGGAAAAAGAGTTCATAAATCGGTTTGAGTTGTGTCTTATCGAATTTGTGTTAAGGTTATTTAAATAAAATATATGTTTTAACTAAACTTTAGTGTAGCCTTAGGGTAAAAAAAATCAGAAAAAAAACTGTAATTTTATCGAACTTACCTGCACTGCATATTTTTAAAGTCACAAGTACACAGTACAGTAGACCCGAGACAGAACTTTTTTTTACTTCTACAGTTCCGTCATTGTACACAGACTCTCAGTCTGTCAGTTTCATATGGACTGTTATAACATTGACAAGGAGATTGCTTGCCAAAAATAACCGCGGGAAATACCGCACACCTTGAAAAATTTCGGAATCGGTGTGTAACCCAGAAGCGGAATCAATTTCTTAACATTGTTTTGTTATCCAGCTGGTAGCTTGATATAATTTAAATATTTAATTTAATTAATTATTTGAATATTTAAACATGAAATACAATCGGTAAATTCAGTTTAAATGAGAATTGATGTGCTTCGTCTCTCAGAGAATTGTCCCGTACGGTTCACAGACAGAAACGAGCGTCTCAGACGACACATTTGGACGACACCAATTTTGACACCACAGTAGTGGCAATGGAAAGTAATGCAGCTACTCTTGAAGATATAACAGGTATATTTTATTTCACAACCCCGTTATGAAGGTATGTGTACAATAGTTAATTAAAACGTACCATTCCCTGAACAAATACAGTCTTCATGAAACACTTGACTGCCTGAAATTTGAAAATTGGAAAAACCTGTCATAAACTTTTAAATTCCTTTAAATTTAAATCATTTAGGGCCTATGGTTTGTGACTTGTGAGTCCTTTTTCATTAAAATTTTACTGTCCTGACAACATTTATACATGCCTGGGCCGTATGATTTTTATGAGTTAATCATGAAGACCAAATGATCACACTAATACTAATAGTAATACCCAACTTTTGAAAGAAATTACCACAGGCACAGGCACTAGCATTTTGTATATAATTTTATCTCTGTAAAAAATAAATATCTTCTTTTAAGTTTTAAACTGAATTTTACTGTGCGTATTGCTGTGTGTTTCTTTATTCTATTTTGGCTAGAGGTATAGGGGGAGGGGTGAGATCTCACAAAACATGTTTAACCCCACCGCATTTTTTTGCCTCTCCTAAGTCAGGAGCCTCTTACCTTTGTTAGTCTTGTATGTTTTTAAATTTTAGTTCATTTATATGTTTTGGAGTTAAGTGTGACGTCCATTTTCACTGAATTACTCAATTAGTACACATTATTATGGAGGGGCCAGCTGAGGCCCACCTCGGGGTGCGGGATTCTCTGGCTTCGTTTAAGACCCATTGATGGCCTTCGGCTGTTATCTGCTCTTTGTTGGGTTGTTGTCTCTTTGACATATTCCCCATTTCCATTCTCAATTTTACTCAGACTGACTCAGAGACATCATATATAATGTCTCTAATTTACTTCCCTAGTATAAAAGAGAACTAAAGTTAGTATTTATAGAAAAATTATTTTATATTTATATATCTATTCAAAATAAAATTATGAAAAGAAAAGTAGAGATTATTGGGTTTTTTTTTTAATGTCAGAATATCATGGATAAAGCCAGAGGATTCTGAATATCTGGCAAAAACTCAAAAACATGAGGAACGAACATCCTTAGACATAAATATATGTGGGTTTTGATTTTTACAAGACTTCAATAAATAAATAGGGGCTTTTTAACATTCAGCTGCAGGTACTGAGGACCTACATGTATTGATCACTTACACTTATCTGTCTGGAGTGGTATATAAACTTCACATGTCTCATAGACATACACCACATAACTCATTTTATTTCACCAGTTAAATATATGTCAAGATTGTTCATGATCATAGAATGACACTTGAGTTAATTATCAGGCAATTACCTTTCATTGTTCCACTTATTAATATTTACCACACAATTTTGGTAGTTCACTGTAATGTTCCCAATTTAAAGTTTGACAGACTATGACAATAACTGTATGTGTAAAAAAAATACTTAAAATTTATGCATTTCTTTTTTCTATATGACAGATAATAAGCAGGGCATGAACGAAGTATGGAGGATCTGTTTGAAAATTCCAGACATGAGAAAGAAAATGACAGGGAGAGATGTCCAGTTCAACGTTACCAGGACAATTCAGCAAAGTTCCAACAGATATGTATGCACTATTTCCATTCTATGAAATGTAATGCATTTAACAAAACAGTGTGCTTTAAAAAGAACAACATGCCTTTTGGTTTGCAGCATATGTGCAGAGGAAGAATAGATATAATTTGTTGTACATTAATGCTACATATGATATTTAAGTAACTTTGCAGAACAAAATGTTCTGAATGTTAGCATTAAATATTTGCCACTGGACAACTGAAGGACGTTATGTAATGCATACAAAAATTGATAAGTCAAATGTAAAAGGTGATAAGAATCGAATAATCATTTAAATGTGTAACTATATATACGGTACACATATATATACAAATGTACCTAAGAAGTGACTAAACAACATGAACAAAAGATATATCTTGGAGCTATTCAGGAATTATCTAACAGGGTCTTTTTTTACACCAACCACCCGTAATATAAAAATTTATTTTACTTAATGAAGTATGTTTCTAAAGAAATTCTAAGGAAATTACAACCACCCCAATATAATATGACTACTTGGCATGACATCAGATGCAACTCATTCATTTGTCATTGTTACCTTTAAAAAAATAAAAATAAAAAATGACTTATAAAATCATGTCTGATTCTACAACATTTCATTTTATACTTTAAACAAATTTGATATGAATTTGGAGGGCTTGTAATCGTGCAGTCCTATCGCAGCTGTTTATTAAATTTTTAACACACTGTACAATTAGATTGCATAATTGGAATCATTATACCACAAAAACTACTGTTAATGCTAATAATAAAAAAAAAAAAAAACTAATGGACATTTATTGATTCATTGATGTCTTTATTTTCTCATAATTGAGATATTGAATGATTAATGTTTAGCGCCACTTTTAACACTATGGTGCTATTTTGTGGCATCCAGTTTTTATTGATGGAGGAAGCTGGAGAGAACCATGACCTTTGGTAGGAAAACTGACAATCCTAGTCAATTAAGATTGGGAGTTAAGTTCACTTGCCACATGCGGGATTTGAACTCACAACCTTAGTGTTGACTGGCTAGTGATACAGAAGTTCAACTACTTAGACTACTCGTCCAAGTTGGCTCCATATAATCGAGATATAATAAATATATATATAAAAAATTAATTAAATATCACACAACAAAAGGAATGTAAAATAAAGAAAGAAAAAAAGAAAGTTTTATACATACACACAAAGAAATATTTAAGTCACTCAGCATAAAATCCCTATGCAATGATGTTAATCTTTAATGATAACATGTTACATGTATATACTGTTCATATTATTAACATTACTAAAGATGATTATGTGACATTTGTTTGTCAGTCAGTAGAAGGAGGCATAATATGTGGACTAAAGTTCATGTTCATGTACATTTATTTGAATATTTATTTTTCCAGAAAAAATCTGAATTTGAGGCAAATATATACTGTCATGTATATATATAAGATGGATAAAGGACATGATACTTTAGCAGTGCTTCAGAGAATCACATTTGGCTACAGAAGTTTGTAGTATTTTGGTTGTAATCAAGTTATTAAGCTGAAGGTAATTTAATAGTTAAACAAGAAATGTTTCCTATTCAAGTATACTAAAATAAAGTTTGATGTTTAGGTCAGAATATGATAAAAATCTTTTTATGCGCCCGTTTACGGGACGTATTATGGTATACCGTTGTCCGTCTTTCCGTCCGTCCGTCTGTCGTCAACATGTGGGACATTAACTCAAAAACGCTTTAACCAATTTGCATAAAACTTTGGTGAATTGATTATATCTATTGATGTAAGCTCCCTTTAGAATTTTATAAATTTTATTTGTTTATAGTCTGACAACAGATTTACTAAGTATTGCGCAACAGCATAGTGTATTGCACAACAGCAAGAAATCTTTAATTGAATATAAATTCAATTCATATAACCAATTTCAAGTTCTTTGACTACATTTATTTAGAAACCTATAATATGTCAAATATTTAATTACAATCCAAATTCAGACCTGTATCAAGCTTGAATATTGTTTCCATTTTTGCCCCAACTGTTCAGGGTTGGACCTCTGCGGGCGTATCCAGCTGCGCTCAGCGAAGCAGTTTATTTTTTTTTTGTCTCCCTTTCGATTTACTTACGTATTTTCTGGCTATTTTTTTTTTTGTAAAGTACTGGTAAAAGTCAAAATTTGTTTGGTAAAGCACCATTTAAGTTCAGAACATGTTGTATATAGTATATTAATAATTTAGATAAAATAAAAATAAAAAATACAATTATTTTATCTATCTACCCTATCTTTCTGCCAGGAGACAGCAAATAAGTGTATACATTTTTTGGCTTTATTGTTCAAAAATGATGTTACAAAACATAACCAAATATTGATTAAATCCTTCATACTGCAGGTTATCTCTATACTTGCATGCCTGAAATTAAGATTATAATCTCATCAAACATTACTTTTCAAGTAGATAATAATATATTGTCAATTATATTATACATGTTATAATAATTGAATATTAGAGTTTCAGTAATTCATATATTGTCTTATTGACAGCTCATTCAAATTAAAATATAAAGTTATGAGGGTCCGGTAATTGTAGATTTGACCATGTTGACAGAAACAATAGCTTAAAAGATTTTGACATAAAAATTGAACAGTAATCTGAAACTGATGCCCAGAACCTTGAGGAATATCTAGAATTTCATTTTGTTTATAAAAACTGTATACTATACTTTTTGATAGCCCTTAGTAAAACATTTTCTTGGCTTATTTTCATTTTATGAACTATTTGAGTATTTCTTAATTCATTGACCCAGATTTAAATAGAAGGCTCAAAGGAGTGAGATCTAAAAAAAATCTTTTAAGACTTCCAGATGTATGTATGCCTTTCTTCTCGTTATTGCTTTGTTTGATCCTGTTCCTAAGCACATATTGACATAATGATGTTATTTTTTTTTAATTTACAGCTTCATAGTAAAACAGATCTAGGCTACACCTTCACTATTCAAGTCAGACTTTAAAAGGAAGCCTTTTTTGTTGATAGCTGAACATGTAAGTAAATACATTAATATCTTATTTGTATATTGTACAAATTAAACAAAGGAAGAATAATTAAGAAATAATTCGCCTTTTTCAGATTTTAAAGGATTATGGGTAATCTTATTGTTCGTACACCAAAATGAAAATAACATTACCTCATTGGTTGAATTTCTATTGTTTAGAACTTTTTAAACCAATCACAACGTTTTAGTGTACGCTTTCGAAAATATTACCCAGAACAGAATGCATTTATTTAGATTATGAAAGGGCGAATTAAACTGGTGATAATAGAAATATTAAAATGAGGAGATGAGGTATGATATTGCCAATGAGACAACTATCCACCAAAGTTCAGTGAAAGTGGATGTAAGCAATAATGGGCAACCATAGAGCCTTTAACAATGAGAAAAATCCATAATGTATAGTCCGCTATATTTAAAGTTCAGTCTTTGGTTAAAGTTTTTTTTTATTTATCAATATATGAAACCTTCATCATGGATTATCATGTTGATGCAATTAAATGACATTTGAATAGTAGATTTTAATAATCGAGAGGGGTAGAAGATACCAATGGGATATATTCAAACTCAAAGGTCGATTTACAAACTGACAAACGCCATAAAACAAAACAAAAAACGACTAAAAGACAAGCAACTGCATACACAAAGTAGAAAACTAAAGACTGAGCACCACAACGGCACTAAAAATCTTGGTGATCTCAGATAATGCAGAAGGGTTAGCTAATCCTGCTCCACATGTGAAACCTATCGTGTTATTCCAAAAAAATATCTTTGCCAAGTTATACTAAGTCATTAGGCATCAGGCAACTAGCAGATTGGTTATTGACTCTTAATCTAAAACTAAGATATCACCATATTCATCAACCATCAGTAATGTAAATTTTTAACCATTAATCAATAAATCTTGACCTAATGTGAAGTTTTGAAATTTGCAAATTTTTAATGAAAAGGATAGACAAGACAGTACCAGTAAAAACAACACAGACATTGAAAAATTAAGAAACATAAAGAACAAAATTTTGTCATCTCTTTTTCATTATTTTTGTCTTGCCTTGAAAAAGCTAGATCTAGGGGTGCTGTTTCAACAATGTATAAGTTTGTGATTAGGTCATTTTAAGGGAAATTGAGATATAATGAATATATATATATATATATATATATATATACAAAATTTATTAGATATCACACAACAACAATGAAATACTAAAGTCACTTAGCATATAAGTTTGTGATTAGATGTAAGAAGATGTGGTATGAGTGCCAATGAGACAAATCTCCATGAAAGTCACAATTTGTAAAAGTAAACCATTATAGGTCAAAGTATGGTCTTTAACACAGAGCCTTGGCTCACACCGAACAGCAATCTATAAAGGGCCCCAAAAATGTTTGTCAGTTTAAGGGGAACCTTTAGTGATGGGCCAATGATATTTGGTATTCAGTTGTATTAGTATTGGCACATCACATTTCCATGGAGATTATTTGGCCCTGTACATTCAGTCATGTTTTTTTTATGCCCCCGCAACTGAAAGTTGGGGGGCATATTGTTTTACCCCTGTCCGTCCGTCCGTCCGTCCCATTATGGGTATATAGTTCATCCGCATAACTCCTCCTACAGTTTGAATCCTAGGAAGTTTTCACTTTGCTGTCTGTTTGTACATATATTGAAGGTGTGCATGTGGTTAGGGTTTTGATTTTTATTAATATTTGCTCTTTTGGGAGAAAGTTGAACTTTGTCAATTTTTGGAGTATTAACTTTCATAAGAGGAGCATTTCGAGATAACTCCTCCTACAGTTTGAATACTAGGAATTTTTCACTTTTCTGGCTACATTGAAGGTGTGCATGTGGTCAGGGTTTTGATTTTGATTTTTTTTTTTTATAATGAATTTTCTTTATTGTAACAAATAGACTAGCACAACATGTATGAACAAAGGTATACAGAATGACATATTCACACAAAGGAAGTATTAAATAATTAAAAAATTAGGGTTGTAAACTATAGATATATTGAGAATTTTATCACATTGTTGTTTACAAAGCAAAAGCAACACTCATATTAGAAGTAAAATAAAGCTTTCATTATGTATGCTTAAATAAGATAATATTATAACAGTAAATACAATTCTTTTTTTTATCCTTTCAGATGAAGAAACTTTCAAAAGAGTGGAGCATTTAGAAGACGGAACAATCAAATATTATTTGCTACTATTTCAGTAACTTTTCAAATGTTAACTGTTTAGAATATTCTTAAATATATATATAATTGAATTTAATGTGGAAAGTGTTTTGTTTTTTTTTTAACATTTGGTAACATATGCCTCTGTTAGGGACAATTTTTTAATCATAAGCTGATTATTTTTAGATTTGTCATGGTAAACCTGCAAGGGACACAACTCTTGTAGAATGAACATTGTAAAATAGCTAGTCTGTATTGAATTGTTGTTTGGTATACATTTGGTTTTGCATTATTTGTTGTGCAATTTCGAATTCGACTTCTTTTCAAACATTGTATAAATTTAAAATGTAGCTGACTTTGACATTGGTATTCATACTTTTAGATTTTTTATGAATTGTCAAACAAACGCGATTATAAAGCAAGAATTTCAAACAAACAAAAAAAGAAATACTAACAGGAAGATTCGAAAGGTTTCAAACATGTAGAAATAGTCTCATGGTTTAAATAAGATTTGGATTTATATATATATATATATATATATATATATATAAGTTTTAATGGATGCTAAACATCCAGCCACAAATATTACATACATATTCAGGATGATAACAGGTTAATAAAACATGCATATGAGGTAACTGATAATCAATATAAGACAATTTATTGATGTATAACTCACTTTTACAGTACTTTTACCATAAAGAACCAGAGAAACATCTTCAAATAGAGATGACCAAGAACAAAAAATGATATGTCAATGAGTGCAACAAAGACAATATTTCATTTTTCCTAGTGGCTGCTTCACATAAAAGTCTTGTTGTATTATCACGTTTATATCACGTGGCTTTATATTAAACGTGAATATCACGTTGTATTATCACGTTGATATTATGTGGATTTATATACAACGTGAATATCACGTGTGACGAACGTTTATTTCACGTTGTGCTCACAACGTGAATATGACGTTTCTGCTCGTTTCACGTTGTACTCACGTGGTGTGGGCAACGTGAAAATCACATGATTCCCATGTTAAAATCACGTTGGAAAAAATTGCCTGTGATACCAAGACTTTTGTTTTGCATGCAGACGTATAAAAATTACGGTTTTTATCCAACGCAATCATAGGTTTGAACGTTGTTTTCAATTTAGACTTGTATATATTCAAACCTTATTGATTGCGTTGGATAAAAACAGCAAATTTTATACATGTGCATGCAAAACAAATTTCTATATATATATATATATATATATATATATGCACAAATGCACAAAGAAGCTTTTGAAAATAGGAATTTGTTTCATTTTGCTCCTTTCTATGCTTAGATATTCTCTATTCTTTATATACATGTTTATGTTTCCCATTATTCTCTGTTATTATATATGTTTCTATTTATCCTTTATTACATTTGTATTTATATATGTTTCTATTAATTCTCTATTCTTTTTATATATATTTCTCTATTTATTCTCCATTCTTTATACATGTTTCATTATTCTTTATATATGTTTCTCTCTATTCTCTATTCTGTATATATATATGTTTCCCATTATTCTCTATTCTTTGTACATGTATACTTTTCTATTCTTTATATATATGTTTCCCCTCATACTCTATTCTTTATATTTTTTGCCTATATTTCTCTATTTTGTTATAATTGTTTGCCCTATGAAATACACTTTTTGTCCATTATTCTCTATACTGTACATTCTTATACACAGGCAATTTTTTCCAACGTGATTTTAACATGGGAATCATGTGATTTTCACGTTGCCCACACCACGTGAGTACAACGTGAAACGAGCAGAAACGTAATATTCACGTTGTGAGCACAACGTGAAATAAACGTTCGTCACACGTGATATTCACGTTGTATATAAATCCACATAATATCAACGTGATAATACAACGTGATATTCACGTTTAATATAAAGCCACGTGATATAAACGTGATAATACAACAAGACTTTTATGTGAAGCAGCCACTAGGAAAAATGAAATATTGTCTTTGTTGCACTCATTGACATATCATTTTTTGTTCTTGGTCATCTCTATTTGAAGATGTTTCTCTGGTTCTTTATGGTAAAAGTACTGTAAAAGTGAGTTATACATCAATAAATTGTCTTATATTGATTATCAGTTACCTCATATGCATGTTTTATTAACCTGTTATCATCCTGAATATGTATGTAATATTTGTGGCTGGATGTTTAGCATCCATTAAAACTTATATATATATATATATATATATATATAAATCCAAATCTTATTTAAACCATGAGACTATTTCTACATGTTTGAAACCTTTCGAATCTTCCTGTTAGTATTTCTTTTTTTGTTTGTTTGAAATTCTTGCTTTATAATCGCGTTTGTTTAACAATTCATAAAAAATCTAAAAGTATGAATACCAATGTCAAAGTCAGCTACATTTTAAATTTATACAATGTTTGAAAAGAAGTCGAATTCGAAATTGCACAACAAATAATGCAAAACCAAATGTATACCAAACAACAATTCAATACAGACTAGCTATTTTACAATGTTCATTCTACAAGAGTTGTGTCCCTTGCAGGTTTACCATGACAAATCTAAAAATAATCAGCTTATGATTAAAAAATTGTCCCTAACAGAGGCATATGTTACCAAATGTTAAAAAAAAACAAAACACTTTCCACATTAAATTCAATTATATATATATTTAAGAATATTCTAAACAGTTAACATTTGAAAAGTTACTGAAATAGTAGCAAATAATATTTGATTGTTCCGTCTTCTAAATGCTCCACTCTTTTGAAAGTTTCTTCATCTGAAAGGATAAAAAAAAGAATTTTATTTACTGTTATAATATTATCTTATTTAAGCATACATAATGAAAGCTTTATACTACTTCTAATATGAGTGTTGCTTTTGCTTTGTAAACAACAATGTGATAAAATTCTCAATATATCTATAGTTTACAACCCTAATTTTTTAATTATTTAATACTTCCTTTGTGTGAATATGTCATTCTGTATACCTTTGTTCATACATGTTGTGCTAGTCTATTTGTTACAATAAAGAAAACTCATTATAAAAAAATCAAAATCAAAATCAAAACCCTGACCACATGCACACCTTCAATGTAGCCAGAAAAGTGAAAAATTCCTAGCATTCAAACTGTAGGAGGAGTTATCTGGAAATGCTCCTCTTATGAAAGTTAATACTCCAAAAATTGACAAAGTTCAACTTTCTCCCAAAAGAGCAAATATTAATAAAAATCAAAACCCTAACCACATGCACACCTTCAATATATGTACAAACAGACAGCAAAGTGAAAACTTCCTAGGATTCAAACTGTAGGAGGAGTTATGCGGATTAACTATATACCCATAATGGGACGGACGGACGGACGGACAGGGGTAAAACAATATGCCCCCCAACTTTCAGTTGCGGGGGCATAAAAAAAACATGACTGAATGTACAGGGCCAAATAATCTCCATGGAAATGTGATGTGCCAATACTAATACAACTGAATACCAAATATCATTGGCCCATCACTAAAGGTTCCCCTTAAACTGACAAACATTTTTGGGGCCCTTTATAGATTGCTGTTCGGTGTGAGCCAAGGCTCTGTGTTAAAGACCATACTTTGACCTATAATGGTTTACTTTTACAAATTGTGACTTTCATGGAGATTTTTCTCATTGGCACTCATACCACATCTTCTTACATCTAAACACAAACTTATATGCTAAGTGACTTTAGTATTTCATTGTTGTTGTGTGATATCTAATAAATTTTGTATATATATATATATATATATATATATATATTCATTATATCTCAATTTCCCTTAAAATGACCTAATCACAAACTTATACATTGTTGAAACAGCACCCCTAGATCTAGCTTTTTCAAGGCAAGACAAAAATAATGAAAAAGAGAAGACAAAATTTTGTTCTTTATGTTTCTAAATTTTTCAATGTCTGTGTTGTTTTTACTGGTACTGTCTTGTCTATCCTTTTCATTAAAAATTTGCAAATTTCAAAACTTCACATTAGGTCAAGATTTATTGATTAATGGTTAAAAATTTACATTACTGATGGTTGATGAATATGGTGATATCTTAGTTTTAGATTAAGAGTCAATAACCAATCTGCTAGTTGCCTGATGCCTAATGACTTAGTATAACTTGGCAAAGATATTTTTTTGGAATAACACGATAGGTTTCACATGTGGAGCAGGATTAGCTAACCCTTCTGCATTATCTGAGATCACCAAGATTTTTAGTGCCGTTGTGGTGCTCAGTCTTTAGTTTTCTACATTGTGTATGCAGTTGCTTGTCTTTTAGTCGTTTTTTGTTTTGTTTTATGGCGTTTGTCAGTTTGTAAATCGACCTTTGAGTTTGAATATATCCCATTGGTATCTTCTACCCCTCTCGATTATTAAAATCTACTATTCAAATGTCATTTAATTGCATCAACATGATAATCCATGATGAAGGTTTCATATATTGATAAATAAAAAAAAACTTTAACCAAAGACTGAACTTTAAATATAGCGGACTATACATTATGGATTTTTCTCATTGTTAAAGGCTCTATGGTTGCCCATTATTGCTTACATCCACTTTCACTGAACTTTGGTGGATAGTTGTCTCATTGGCAATATCATACCTCATCTCCTCATTTTAATATTTCTATTATCACCAGTTTAATTCGCCCTTTCATAATCTAAATAAATGCATTCTGTTCTGGGTAATATTTTCGAAAGCGTACACCAAAACGTTGTGATTGGTTTAAAAAGTTCTAAACAATAGAAATTCAACCAATGAGGTAATGTTATTTTCATTTTGGTGTACGAACAATAAGATTACCCATAATCCTTTAAATTCTGAAAAAGGCGAATTATTTCTTAATTATTCTTCCTTTGTTTAATTTGTACAATATACAAATAAGATATTAATGTATTTACTTATATGTTCAGCTATCAACAAAAAAGGCTTCCTTTTAAAGTCTGACTTGAATAGTGAAGGTGTAGCCTAGATCTGTTTTACTATGAAGCTGTAAATTAAAAAAAAATAACATCATTATGTCAATATGTGCTTAGGAACAGGATCAAACAAAGCAATAACGAGAAGAAAGGCATACATACATCTGGAAGTCTTAAAAGATTTTTTTTAGATCTCAATCCTTTGAGCCTTCTATTTAAATCTGGGTCAATGAATTAAGAAATACTCAAATAGTTCATAAAATGAAAATAAGCCAAGAAAATGTTTTACTAAGGGCTATCAAAAAGTATAGTATACAGTTTTTATAAACAAAATGAAATTCTAGATATTCCTCAAGGTTCTGAGCATCAGTTTCAGATTACTGTTCAATTTTTATGTCAAAATCTTTTAAGCTATTGTTTCTGTCAACATGGTCAAATCTACAATTACCGGACCCTCATAACTTTATATTTTAATTTGAATGAGCTGTCAATAAGACAATATATGAATTACTGAAACTCTAATATTCAATTATTATAATATAATTGACAATATATTATTATCTACTTGAAAAGTAATGTTTGATGAGATTATAATCTTAATTTCAGGCATGCAAGTATAGAGATAACCTGCAGTATGAAGGATTTAATCAATATTTGGTTATGTTTTGTAACATCATTTTTGAACAATAAAGCCAAAAAATGTATACACTTATTTGCTGTCTCCTGGCAGAAAGATAGGGTAGATAGATAAAATAATTGTATTTTTTATTTTTATTTTATCTAAATTATTAATATACTATATACAACATGTTCTGAACTTAAATGGTGCTTTACCAAACAAATTTTGACTTTTACCAGTACTTTACAAACAAAAAAAGCCAGAAAATACGTAAGTAAATCGAAAGGGAGACAAAAAAAATAAACTGCTTCGCTGAGCGCAGCTGGATACGCCCGCAGAGGTCCAACCCTGAACAGTTGGGGCAAAAATGGAAACAATATTCAAGCTTGATACAGGTCTGAATTTGGATTGTAATTAAATATTTGACATATTATAGGTTTCTAAATAAATGTAGTCAAAGAACTTGAAATTGGTTATATGAATTGAATTTATATTCAATTAAAGATTTCTTGCTGTTGTGCAATACACTATGCTGTTGCGCAATACTTAGTAAATCTGTTGTCAGACTATAAACAAATAAAATTTATAAAATTCTAAAGGGAGCTTACATCAATAGATATAATCAATTCACCAAAGTTTTATGCAAATTGGTTAAAGCGTTTTTGAGTTAATGTCCGACATGTTGACGACAGACGGACGGACGGAAAGACGGACAACGGTATACCATAATACGTCCCGTAAACGGGCGTATAAAAAGAACTTTATCATATTCTGACCTAAACATCAAACTTTATTTTAGTATACTTGAATAGGAAACATTTCTTGTTTAACTATTAAATTACCTTCAGCTTAATAACTTGATTACAACCAAAATACTACAAACTTCTGTAGCCAAATGTGATTCTCTGAAGCACTGCTAAAGTATCATGTCCTTTATCCATCTTATATATATACATGACAGTATATATTTGCCTCAAATTCAGATTTTTTCTGGAAAAATAAATATTCAAATAAATGTACATGAACATGAACTTTAGTCCACATATTATGCCTCCTTCTACTGACTGACAAACAAATGTCACATAATCATCTTTAGTAATGTTAATAATATGAACAGTATATACATGTAACATGTTATCATTAAAGATTAACATCATTGCATAGGGATTTTATGCTGAGTGACTTAAATATTTCTTTGTGTGTATGTATAAAACTTTCTTTTTTTCTTTCTTTATTTTACATTCCTTTTGTTGTGTGATATTTAATTAATTTTGTATATATATATGTATTATATCTCGATTATATGGGGCCAACTTGGACGAGTAGTCTAAGTAGTTGAACTTCTGTATCACTAGCCAGTCAACACTAAGGTTGTGAGTTCAAATCCCGCATGTGGCAAGTGAACTTAACTCCAAATCTTAATTGACTAGGATTGTCAGTTTTCCTACCAAAGGTCATGGTTCTCTCCAGCTTCCTCCATCAATAAAAACTGGATGCCACAAAATAGCACCATAGTGTTAAAAGTGGCGCTAAACATTAATCATTCAATATCTCAATTATGAGAAAATAAAGACATCAATGAATCAATAAATGTCCATTAGTTTTTTTTTTTTTTTATTATTAGCATTAACAGTAGTTTTTTTGGTATAATGATTCCAATTATGCAATCTAATTGTACAGTGTGTTAAAAATTTAATAAACAGCTGCGATAGGCTGCACGATTACAAGCCCTCCAAATTCATATCAAATTTGTTTAAAGTATAAAATGAAATGTTGTAGAATCAGACATGATTTTATAAGTCATTTTTTATTTTTATTTTTTTAAAGGTAACAATGACAAATGAATGAGTTGCATCTGATGTCATGCCAAGTAGTCATATTATATTGGGGTGGTTGTAATTTCCTTAGAATTTCTTTAGAAACATACTTCATTAAGTAAAATAAATTTTTATATTACGGGTGGTTGGTGTAAAAAAAGACCCTGTTAGATAATTCCTGAATAGCTCCAAGATATATCTTTTGTTCATGTTGTTTAGTCACTTCTTAGGTACATTTGTATATATATGTGTACCGTATATATAGTTACACATTTAAATGATTCTTCGATTCTTATCACCTTTTACATTTGACTTATCAATTTTTGTATGCATTACATAACGTCCTTCAGTTGTCCAGTGGCAAATATTTAATGCTAACATTCAGAACATTTTGTTCTGCAAAGTTACTTAAATATCATATGTAGCATTAATGTACAACAAATTATATCTATTCTTCCTCTGCACATATGCTGCAAGCCAAAAGGCATGTTGTTCTTTTTAAAGCACACTGTTTTGTTAAATGCATTACATTTCATAGAATGGAAATAATGCATACATATCTGTTGGAACTTTGCTGAATTGTCCTGGTAACGTTGAACTGGACATCTCTCCCTGTCATTTTCTTTCTCATGTCTGGAATTTTCAAACAGATCCTCCATACTTCGTTCATGCCCTGCTTATTATATGTCATATAGAAAAAAGAAATGCATAAATTTTAAGTATTTTTTTTACACATACAGTTATTGTCATAGTCTGTCAAACTTTAAATTGGGAACATTACAGTGAACTACCAAAATTGTGTGGTAAATATTAATAAGTGGAACAATGAAAGGTAATTGCCTGATAATTAACTCAAGTGTCATTCTATGATCATGAACAATCTTGACATATATTTAACTGGTGAAATAAAATGAGTTATGTGGTGTATGTCTATGAGACATGTGAAGTTTATATACCACTCCAGACAGATAAGTGTAAGTGATCGATACATGTAGGTCCTCAGTACCTGCAGCTGAATGTTAAAAAGCCCCTATTTATTTATTGAAGTCTTGTAAAAATCAAAACCCACATATATTTATGTCTAAGGATGTTCGTTCCTCATGTTTTTGAGTTTTTGCCAGATATTCAGAATCCTCTGGCTTTATCCATGATATTCTGACATTAAAAAAAAACCCCAATAATCTCTACTTTTCTTTTCATAATTTTATTTTGAATAGATATATAAATATAAAATAATTTATCTATAAATACTAACTTTAGTTCTCTTTTATACTAGTGAAGTAAATCAGAGACATTATATATGATGTCTCTGAGTCAGTCTGAGTAAAATTGAGAATGGAAATGGGGAATATGTCAAAGAGACAACAACCCAACAAAGAGCAGATAACAGCCGAAGGCCATCAATGGGTCTTTAACGAAGCCAGAAAATCCCGCACCCCGAGGTGGGCCTCAGCTGGCCCCTCCATAATAATGTGTACTAATTGAGTAATTCAGTGAAAATGGACGTCACACTTAACTCCAAAACATATAAATGAACTAAAATTTAAAAACATACAAGACTAACAAAGGTAAGAGGCTCCTGACTTAGGAGAGGCAAAAAAATGCGGTGGGGTTAAACATGTTTTGTGAGATCTCACCCCTCCCCCTATACCTCTAGCCAAAATAGAATAAAGAAACACACAGCAATACGCACAGTAAAATTCAGTTTAAAACTTAAAAGAAGATATTTATTTTTTACAGAGATTAAATTATATACAAAATGCTAGTGCCTGTGCCTGTGGTAATTTCTTTCAAAAGTTGGGTATTACTATTAGTATTAGTGTGATCATTTGGTCTTCATGATTAACTCATAAAAATCATACGGCCCAGGCATGTATAAATGTTGTCAGGACAGTAAAATTTTAATGAAAAAGGACTCACTAGTCACAAACCATAGGCCCTAAATGATTTAAATTTAAAGGAATTTAAAAGTTTATGACAGGTTTTTCCAATTTCAGGCAGTCAAGTGTTTCGTGAAGACTGTATTTGTTCAGGGAATGGTACGTTTTAATTAACTATTGTACACATACCTTCATAACGGGGTTGTGAAATAAAATATACCTGTTATATCTTCAAGAGTAGCTGCATTACTTTCCATTGTCACTACTGTGGTGTCAAAATTGGTGTCGTCCAAATGTGTCGTCTGAGACGCTCGTTTCTGTCTTTGAACCGTACGGGACAATTCTCTGAGAGACGAAGCACATCAATTCTCATTTAAACTGAATTTACCGATTGTATTTCATGTTTAAATATTCAAATAATTAATTAAATTAAATATTTAAATTATATCAAGCTACCAGCTGGATAACAAAACAATGTTAATAAATTGATTCCGCTTCTGGGTTACACACCGATTCCGAAATTTTTCAAGGTGTGCGGTATTTCCCGCGGTTATTTTTGACAAGCAATCTCCTTGTCAATGTTATAACAGTCCATATGAAACTGACAGACTGAGAGTCTGTGTACAATGACGGAACTGTAGAAGTAAATAAAAGTTCTGTCTCGGGTCTACTGTACTGTGTACTTGTGACTTTAAAAATATGCAGTGCAGGTAAGTTCGATAAAATTACAGTTTTTTTTCTGATTTTTTTTACCCTAAGGCTACACTAAAGTTTAGTTAAAACATATATTTTATTTAAATAACCTTAACACAAATTCGATAAGACACAACTCAAACCGATTTATGAACTCTTTTTCCATATTCAGTGGTGGATCCATAAATGACATAAATTTTAATAAAAGGGGGTGGGGGATGGCATTGATTGTCTAAGGTGAATCCCACAAAAGGGGGGCATTGACTGCCTAAGGTTAAGCCAACAAAAGGGGGCATTGACTGCCTAAGGTTAAGCCCACAAAAGGGGGGGGGGGGGGGGCTGCGCATTAAATCTGTCTCTGATATTAGTACAGGTGAACATTAGGGGAATGACACCTTTTGGGTTGTGGGATATCGAGGTTAAAAAAAAGGGGGATTTTTCATATTGGGGTGAAAAAGTGGGGATGTGGGATTTAGTTGGATTCTTCAATCTTTGTCTTGATGACAGGATAATTCTCTTCTCTTGTTAAACGATATTTTCAGTTGTAATTTCTCCTTAATTTGTACTTCAGGGGGTTAAATCTAATTGATGATATCATGTCAGTCAGCTTTGAACAGCTATCTTTTATTTTATGTTTAGCTTACACATTTATGACATTACTACAAACTTAATTATAAGCTACATGTAAACAAATATTTAAGAGTAATATTTCTATTGTGTAATAAATAATACCATTATAAAAATGAAAGATTTTTTTCCATCAATTGAATAATTTGATATGTTTTTAGGGATACAGCAAGTTCCCAAGTTCTTAGTTAATGAACAGAGAAAATTGTTGAGGAGCTCATTGGGAAAAAAAGAAATTAACAAAGGAAATGTACTTTTTCAATAAGGAGAAGAAGTAAAAGCAGCAGGTATTATATACTTATTTTATACTTGATTAACTTGGCTGTAACGGTCAAACGATTGAGATAAATAAATGAAAAGAAATGGCGTCTATATTTCAGTGAATCAGCACCCGAACAAACAACAAAACCAGTAGAGGCATCTTTTGGTTAAAACAAAAGACTTCAATATACATTGTAAGTGTCAATACAAATGTAAAATAAATAGGATGTGGTAAGATTGCCAATGAGACACTCTCTCCAAGAGACCAAATGATACAGACATTAACAACTATAGGTCACTGTCAGTCACTTGGGACAGGCGCACAATTTATGCATACTCAATTTAATATAATATTATTATCCTATTGTATACAGATGTAAAACTTGTGTCTGATCCTATTTAAGTCAATTGTTCGAATAAAATAATCATAAACTAAAACATTCATATGATGTAGTTTTGCATTTTCTATTTAGAGCATGTTCAGTACCAGTAGAATTCAACTACAAAATTAATAAGCTATTATTATAATTTCTTTGTTCTTACTACTTTTCTTGTGTTTGCCGGGAAAATTGACAGAGTGATACATCTTCTATGAATAAAAAGAGGAAATAAGTGTCTGCAGCAGTAAATCATTATAACAACAAGACTGTGAGAAGAAGATATCAGAACATGAAATGAGTTTTATTTCTTTTAAAAAGAATTGTTACGGAATATACCTCTTGTGATTCTAAAGAAAACCATTGTCAACTTGAAGTAAAGGAAGATTTTATAATTTAATAGAACAGGAAATTAAAGAAGACTCATTTAGAGCATAACAAAGCACAATGTATATTTCTAATTAGCCATTGCAAAAATAACTTGCACTTACATGTACATATGTTATTCATGTGATATCAATATGAAATTCACATCACAATCATGTGAAAATATAGACGTTAAAATAATGTGAAAAAATCTAAATGTGAAATTAACACAATATTTACACGTTAAAATCACGTTTAAAAATTTACGTGTGAAATTAACACAATATTTACACGTTAATATCACGTTAAAAAATTTACATGTGAAAATAACGTTACGTTTAAACGTGAATATCACGTGAGCAGATTAAAACGTGATTATCACGTGAGAATCTTGTGTGTGTCAAATACATGTGATATAAACGTTTAAACGGTGTGATACACACGTGGAAATAACGTAGTTTTCACGTAATGAGCACAAACGTTAAACACACGTTGGAAAAAATTGCCTGTGTAACCCACCCAGATCCTCATACATTGACAAAATTTATAACAAACAGATGTGTAATTCCTACACTATCATGCAGTGTGACAATTAACCATACAGCATAGTTACCATAGTAAAGAATCTATGATATATTCTTAGTTAGGCCAGATCACAAAATTAATTTGAAAGAGAAAATTGATCTTCACATCCTAAATGAAATTTTTACGGAGTGGTGTACTGCGTTTGGGACAAATTATATCTAAATTATAGAATACTTCATCAGTTCTATCTCAAAATATAGAAATTTTATGCTGAGGGGGTTACAATCAGTATGACGGTTTCAGATTTATATACTACATTGTAATTTTGTAACTTTTTCAACTGTTAAAAATGTTATTTCATCTCTCTTTACATGTATGCTAGTATTACTTGCTTGATATAAACCATAATGAAATAAATTTGGAGGGTGTATGAAAAATATTGGCATGTAATCTGGAAATATTAGTATAATAGTCTGAGATGTAATATATACACTGTCCACTGTGGACTTTACTATGTCATTAAATTCTACATATAGAATGTTATAAATCTAAACACTAAAAATTATTTTGAAAGATATCTCATAAATATTACATGTGTATGTATAAGGTTACTTAGAAGTGGGATTTGTAAAAAGTCCATGCTTAACTTTATACATGTTTGGTATATACATGTATACTAGTTTCATTGGGGGGACATAGGCCTATAGAGCCTATGAAGAAACATGGTGAAAACGCCAACGGTGCATAAAAAAAATTGACAAGGGCAGAATGGGAAATGCAAACCATGCGTATCATACATTTTTATAAACCCAAATGAAAACTTTTTGCCAAAACAAATATTCAAGCTCCCATGTCAAGTACATGTACATACAAGAAATGAACAAAAATTGTGAAAAAGTTCTTTAATCTTACCTTGACCCTTTCTCTTTTCTGTAGAGCTACAGATGTT